TCGAATCGCGAGTGGCCGGTAAATTTTGTGACAAATAGAAACGATGTTCGCGAGATAGGTAATATTTCGTATAAAATTATTATTCCTTATCCAAGCAAGCCGATAATGACCTTCAAAGCTCGTATTTCCACGGGGTTGCATCTAACTCGTGCTCCTCTGCTATGGTCTTGATTAATTTCTCGTCGCGTCGCGTGTGACGTGCTGTTTGAGTGATATTTGAATAGAGGAGGATTAAATTCCTCCGTTTCCTTATTTATCCGTTTTTAAACAGGATTTCATTGAAAAGCGAAGTGCAGGTTTACGATCTATAAGATATCACTGAGCGTTGGGTGCTGTTGGGTGCCGCTGAGTCGTAATGATTTCGTTCAACTGTTCATGTACTACGATGTTATTTCTGACACTGGTACTCGGTTCTAAATAGTATTTCATTAGAAAGCGAAGTACAAATTTACGATTTTGAGTGATATTTGAATAGAGGAGGATTAAATTCCTCCGTTTCCTTATTTATCCGTTTTTAAATAGTATTTCATTAGAAAGCGAAGTACAAATTTGCGTTCTATAAGATATCACCGAGCGTTGGGTGCTATTGGGTGCTGTTGGGTGTCGCTGAGTCGTAATGATTTCGTTCAACTGTTCACTGACTACGATGTTATTTCTGACACTGGTACTCTTTTCTTGATAGTTTTCTGGCACTTTTCTTAGTTGTTGCAGAGACGAGTATTTTTTTAAAGATTTCTCTTCCGCATTGTCGCGAATAAACTTTCGTTCCAATCGCGCGACTTCGTTTAAATCGTTCTGTAATATCGACGAATCGTCGGAGAAAGAGGAAACGATTTTTCCTGAATGAAAATGCGAACTTGGAAGTACCAAGTTTGGTGTATTCTTCTTCGCCCTGTTTGTTGCATCTTTTTTCTCGAGAAAAATTGTTTCTTATTTCGACGTAGTGCTTGGAGCACCGATGTTTACTACCGAGAAACAGTCTTCAACATTTTACGTTTATTGCGTTTTTTCTTCCCCATTTCCAGAAAACGTTTCGGAACAGGTTACTCTCGATTACGGTTATTCGTTTTATAAATCCCGCTTGCGAGAACGAGGTCTTTGATTCGAGCAATTGCGCTCGATACTTTTGTCTGGGATATTGGCCAAGGATTGGTGGAAAGGAAACTTTATTTTATCCATCGAGATTAAATATAATTTAATATCATTTTGAAATATCATTTTTAGGAATATCCTTGACTGTGGGAATAATTCGAGGAATTTTATTTGAAATAAATTTAGCTTTCAGCAGCTTTCATTACATTATCTGTACGCAATGGAATGTATATTTTACGAACGAATATTGAAACGAATATCTCACGTTTGATTTAAAATATGTCGTGCAAAAAGCGTTCTTTCTTCTACAACGTCCTTTTAATAATAAAAATATATCCTGCATTTGCTTTGTCATAAATTCAGTGAAATATGATTGTAGCATATTCATTGCTACCGCATCGTCAGGTGCATCAGATGCAGCTGTTGGAATCGATTAAATATTTCACTCTTCGTTCTATTTGTTTTTCCATCAAACTTACGGTGCAATAAGTTAGCATCGAAATAAAATAGAATTAAGATATAACAAATAGTCGAAATCCGAAATACACGCGTAGGAAATCCAAAGAAAATTGGATAGCAAATTAAATCCTTTAATTATACGAAACGTGTAAATAATTTTTAAATTCATTGTTCCAAGAGGTTAATACTAATACCGTCAAACTAGTAAAGATTTTACTATTAATAAAAGCCCTACAATAGTAGCTGGTAAAACAGACATTGTCTTGTATTCAAATAGATCCAGGATTATATATAGGTATATATTTATTTATTAGCAATCATCCTTCTTCAACCCCATACACTCGAAATTCTTCTCATTTATAGAGATATAGTAATTCAAATCACCTCCTCTACAAAATAAATGAAATTTGCGTGAATTTTCATATTTTCCATTTTTCCAAACTCATTCTCCGTTCCTCAATAAATCACACGTATAACACAGATCGTTACCTCATGACGTCATGTACCCCAATCTTCAAGCACATTCCTATAGACAATCTAGCATAAATATTCGTTTCACTCAATCCACGTGCCATGCCAAAGGCTTTCATTCCCGCATAATCATGCGTGTTTTCTTCCAATTTTCCATCATCCTCGCAAGTTTTCTTCTAGTGCCGATTACCTGCTACCAGCTCGAGTAGAATCACGTTATCTATCCCATCGCCATCGCTGGCACATTAATTTCTCGTTCGTGTACCGGACGATATCAGGTAATAACGGTTCACCGTGTCCCTAGCCCGCGTTTTCCCTCGAGGAGAGAGCCTGGTGGAAATTCTTCGCAGCGATCGCTGAAAGATTCCACGTGAACGACCGGGCTGTCGCTAATTGCTGGCGTAATTACATGCCGGGTTTATCGGCTTTGCCCGTTCGCGTTCCACGTTCTGAATCGCGTCGCGAGCCAATGGACACGCCGTCAGCATAATGCGACGTCGCTTCTTCAGACGCCTCCGTTTCTTCAACCCTTTTCTCTCCGTCGTGCCACCCCCTTGTGGCTCCTGCCTCGCTTCTTCGCTTCCTTTTTTCGCCGGCCCGGGTCCTTTGAACTTTTACATCCACCTTGCGGAGTCCGGCAATAATTAGTGCCGGGTAAAGGGTCCGTCGAGACTTCCCTCGTGGTCCCAGAGAGGGAGGAGAACAAGGGTTGAAAGAGTAGACGTGAATCGGCAGGGATTATAAGATGCTGAAGGCTCGCGAAGGAGAAAGGGGTTGCCGCAGGGGTAAATTTCGACGTGGTTCACTGGGTTAGCTGTCTTTCATTCTGTTTCCTTTCGGTTTGTTTCCGCTGCCGGGTTAATGAAGCTCGATGGATCTGTTGGTCAGTGCTGATGCTTTCGCCACTGGTAATTGGTTCCTTTGCTAGATTTCTCGTTGTAGCCAAGGGTGAGATGCGAAAGACACTTTGCGTCTTTTTTAATTAACACAGACTTGTTTGATTAAAGTTTAATTGAAAATGTACTCCCGAGGGATGATAAGCTTCGTTCTAAACCGTATCTCTTCTTTAAATTAAATACAAATTTCTTTCGCTTTGCGATATTACACTGTGAAATCGTAAATTATGAACCACCTTGTGTGATAAATTTAATCTACACATCTAGATGTATAATAATTGGTCTTCCATTAAAGGAAAAATTAAGAAAGCGTTTAGTGGCAGTAATTACTTATTTAAATGAAATTCTCATACGACATTCTGTCCTGCCTGTTGCAGTGTCAGTTACACAGATCCGGAGGGGTGTTTTCACTCTGAAGTACCAAATTTCGACCGATACGAAAAAATTCTTTAGACGTATAATACTCGAGGTCTCCAACAACCCCACAGAGCTTAAAAAAGATCAGAATTTTCGCGTCTCAACGAATCAATTATCAGATTCCATTCGTTTTCTATCTTTAAGGTACCAATTACCGAAAAGTTCCCCAAAAATCGGCATTCATTTCTAATCGATTTTCTTATTTTTCGCTCACGCTACTCGCACCTCCGCGATAAAATTACGAACCCGGCATTGTTCCAACGATTCGATGCAGGTATAGGAGGAAGAGGATGCTCGGGAGAATAAAAAATACTAGCAGCGTTCGAGCTAGGCTCTATCTTCGTTGTACACCGTGTTAAACGCGCGCTTGCCACGAGCGATTTCACGAGACGATCATGCACACGAATGATTACGATCTTGGCATAATATTACGGGCTCCGTTAGTCTAATGAAGTAACTTTAACAGTAACACGTTGTAAATTAATACCGTCCGCAACAGTAACGAAGTCTCGCGGTGGTAATGATCGCGGGTAATAGTAATAATCTCAATAATAATAATAATCATAACGATGATGATGATAATAATTGTCATAATAATAATAATAATATTAATAATAATAATAATACGGCGAATAGTGGTTGGGTGGTGGTGATGGTGGTTTAATGCAATACGACTAATCTTTTCTTGTATTATTTGCAATATTCTTGGTGCTCGCACGAAAAATGAACGAAATGGCATGCTGGAATTTTACAGGAGGTGAGTCCTAATTTCTTAACTTCACTTAACGTCGGTTTTTGCTAACTCCAACTATGCTTTCCATCTCTGTCCACCATTTTTCTTCTTCTTCTTCTTCTTCTTCTTATTCTTCTTCGCTCCCCTTTTATCTATCTATTTATCTATCGTACCTCCATCCTTTTCCTTATATTTTTGTTTAATTCACGCTTGGTATTAATGAGCAGGGAATGTAAATTCATTTACACGTTAGCCTTATCGAGTTACCGAAACGAAGTTGTCCCGTTGTGTATGTTCGTACTTTACTTTCATTCTAGCGCAGATTGTTAATTGCTAATTGGCTTTCCTTCCAGGGGCATTTCAAGTGATTAATCTCGGTGCAGCGGCTATTGCATCGCTTTCGTCCCGTACTAATTATAACGCTCTTTTTCGATTCCTCCCCCTGCCCCCGCGGCCCCTGTTTCGCCGCTGTTTACCCTTCCGCATAATTTACAGCGATAACGTTAACGGTAACCGGGTGTTTGCTTTGAACTCGTTCCACTAATTCCGTTTCCGCTGACGGCCTACGATATTTTTATATTTCGCCGATTGATCCGCGCCACGAGCAAACACGTTTCACCGCATTTCCATCCACCGCCGCTTCCGTTTCCCTCCCCCACTGCCCTCCATTTCCTTGGCGAACAAATATTTGGCCTGCACTCGATTGTTAATATATAAAATTTTCAGCCGGCAATCGTGTTTCTCCTTTGTTCGTTTCATGGAAAAAAAAAATAAAAAAATGAAAAAAGGATAGGCGAAAGAAAATAAAATTGTATCATTCGTGCACGGTGTTTTAATTACACTCCATCGAGAGCCGTCTTCCGGGTTGCACAGACGACCTACGACTGTCGTAAGTCACTCGATTAACTGGTCTGCTTTTTGTCGTCGAATAGAAGCAGCAAGAGATGAACAAGAACAAGGAGATCATCGTGTTGGACCATAAGCGATCGAACGCCATCAATATCGGAATGACCAAGTTGCCACCACCGAGGTCGATTAAGACCGCGATCTTGAAAATGGACGCGACCATCATGAACAGAGAGGGTATCGAGGTAAGATTGTGTCAATTTTCTTCCATATTTTTCTTTTTTCTGAATACTTTGTGGTGATTTAAATATTTTATGGAGTAGTTTGATAATTATATTTCTTCGACCAAGGCTGTGCAGACGTTATTGACTCCTGGGTTGATAGTTTGCTTTTCTATCAAAGCTAAATCGAAGAGACGACAAAATTCTAAAATAGTTGAAATTGTGAGGAAATTATTGTTACTCCAATTATAAATATTATGAACTATTTAGTACAGTTAATTCGGTATGATTCGATGCAGTTAATTGTCACTCGACAAACCTAATTTTCAACATCCCGTCTGTGAAATCTGTGGTCGTCTAGAAAAACGTCACACGTTTTCCTTTATATCCGAGATATTAATGATTAAAGTTTTCCGATAGATAAATAAATTCGAATTTTTTCCTAACCGCAGAGATGTCTGCACAGCCTGGTTTACTGGAATAATTGACCGAATGAATTCTCCTCAAGTTGAAAATACTCTGACATCTTTCCACCGCTTTCTTAATTTCTTCCCCCGAAACGAAATGTACGTCAGAATCCCGATTTCGTTCGAAACCTCTGTCTAAAGCGTGGCTGTCCAAGCCACGGTTCTTGGTTCACTGTCTACCCTGCGATTCAGTTGAAACACACGTACGCTCTGTTTTCGATGGTTTTTCTAATTTCTCTAATTTCCACTTCATTTCTCTTCTTCGTTCGTTTCCTATCCTTTGTCCCCGGACCCGTTCGCGACAGAAACTACTGACGATGCTGCCAACCGAGGAAGAGAGGTCCAGGATACAAGAGGCGCAGGCCGCCAATCCTGACCTACCTTTGGGATCGGCCGAGCAGTTTCTTCTAACTTTGGCCTCTATCTCGGAGTTGCCAGCCAGGCTGAAACTTTGGGCGTTCAAACTGGACTTCGAGAATTCGGAGAAGGTGAGTGCTTCGCGACTATTTTTCCGTAGCCATGCGGTTCGTTGCCTCGCCAAGCATCCGACTATTAATCAGACACGTGTTCCAGATCAGTAGTTCTAACGTTGAACGTTCGGATTTATAAAATATGTGGTAAAGATCGAGTTAACCCATTCGCGTCACTTGGATTGCTATAGCTATTGCAATTCCTATAGGTTTTTCGTTAAAATTTTCAATCGGCCATCGAGTAATAGACTCATTTAACCTAGCCCTCTCTTCTTCTCCCATCACAATTTCCCGAGCAGGATAATGAGAGGTGCATAAGCAATGATTAACAAGGAGACAAGCTACTCGAAGCGTGTGCGATCGCTCGATTATTGGTGTCGCCTAGTGGAATCGAGTCACGAGACGTACCGTAAATACGCTTCAGCGTGAGAAGCCGCATGACATTTCGAATGCAAATTCTATTAAGCACCGTCGAATACGAATGCGCGTAATGGCGTTCGGATTGGCCCGTTATTTCTCACGAATCTCGTCTCGAATTCCACGTAGATAGTCGCGGCACCGCGACGAGGAAAAACGCCAGGTATGCGGGGAAGGAAGTCGCGGGGAACGTTCCCCGCATAATCGCGTGATTTCTTCGCTGGGAACATGGCGAATTCCGATACACGATCGTGCCGCATCGAACGTGTGCGTCTCTTCCTTGGAAAACCGCCTGAGCTGACACCAAGCCTGTGAAACGCTCTGACCGCTATGGAACAAGAATTCGAGTGTCTGCTAGATCTATAGTCGGTCCATTTTTCTTTTCTTTTTTCCGATTCTTCTGATTTATTTCATTCCCTTTCTTTTCCTTCTTTTAGTTAAATACGAATCTATCGGTGACGAAAAGTCTTCATTTTTTATCAATTTTGATTTATATTATTTTTTTTTTTTTTTTTATTGTTCGTGTATTTTAAGGTGAAACGAGTGTTTAACAAATTTCTGGGTATGTGTAATTTTGGTAGAGTCTGCCTTTGTTTAATATCTGCACTGTTTTTGGAGTTAATGGTGGAAGGTATATTTAGGTTCATATAATACGAGTGTATGAAGGAACGTAAGAACATGGCTGTAATAAGCAGAGGAAAATGTACCTTCTGCTGGGTATTATATTCTGTAACAAGGTATCCTACCTCATTCGTAATTTAATACGATTTCCTTAAATACTATTGTTTTCCACTTGCTACCTCCATGTAGTTTTAACGATTAGTGCGGTCTCGACTTCAAACGTCTAGTTTCTATAATTTGCGAGAGAAAGTATATATAGAATTAAATTAACATCAGAAAACAAATATCAAATTTTGGAAATTATTATTTATAATAATCAAAGATTGAGAAAGGACTAATACCATATCATAGGATTAATATTATAAATTAAATATAGAATTCGACGATGTTCTAATTTTTTCTCGACTATACTATTTTGACGTTACATATACAGGGTGAATCACTTAAATTGAACATCTAATCTAAATGACAAAACGATGTTTCAATGTTTCCCAAGCTTGAAAACTTTATGACAACAAAGAAAGTTAATAATTTTTCAAATGATATTGACACATTTTGCAATACTGCAGTCGGTATTAAGACGAATTCAATGGCTCATAATCCCGTCAATTCAAGATAGCCTCGAATTCGAGAAACTGAGTCGACATTTTAAGAACACGAGCATTTACTATATTTTATTGCTAATTTTTCAAAGTGCTGACCATCTGCATAAATACATTTCTGCAGTCCTTGAAACCATTTAAACACTTCCTTATCATTTTTTCCTCGTTTTCATAGCAATGGAAATAACGTAAAAATTCTACTTAAGCTAATCACCCTGTATATACGTTCATAAATGTAAGGCATTTTCTTCGCCCACAGGGCATTCTATTTTCCACATTATCTTATAATCTCGCACCCTCCACCTCAAGCGTCACGTACGCCCTTAGAAATTTAACGACCACGCATACTCGAGCCACTCTCTTCCCCGAAGAACACACGCACTCTCGAGTGAAATTTAAAGGAAAAAGAAAAAGGAAAGAAAAATACGCGGGGAAGCTCGCGATTCGACGAATCCACGAAAATGAAACCGCAGACGAGCACAACGAACCAGCCGGCACGGCGTGCCAGAGAACACGCGGCTCGAGAGAAATAATCGCGAACCACCTTTGTGACTTCAGGAAATTGCGGACCCTTTGATGGATCTGAAGCAGGGAATGGAGACCCTGCGAGTGAATAAAACGTTCCGCGGGATTCTGAGCACGCTCCTTTCGATCGGGATATTCCTCAACGGAAATGAGGTAGGTATTGAATGCCAGCCAAATGATATCCGCTTAATCCGTCAGTCGGAGTCACTCGTTCGCGCGTGATCGATATCCATCAGTGTCGATAATTTTCCTGTAACCGTTGCTCGATGATTCGGAAAAAGGGACGGGCACCGGCCCAGGCCCTTCCTCTGGACCGGTGCCATGTTTCTCGATATAGACACGCTTGGCTAATCGTTTGACTCTTGTGGGATGACGAGGGTAGTGTTCCTAGGTGATGGTCCATGCAGTTTGTAACTTCGTTTCTTTGCCAGTTAATTTGGCAATTTAAATCACCCTAGTCGATCATGATTCAATCAATCCTGTATTTAATATCGCGAAATATCTATGTAATATATCGAAATATCTATTATCATAATGAGCGGAATATTTAATACGATATTACTGGAGGGAAAGAAGTAAATTTAGGAAATCTGGGAAAATGAAAATTACCATTTGTGACTTTAAAACGAACATATTCTCCTCGAATTTTTTCCTGCCAGTAATGAATATATGTTTGTACTCTGGCACTTATGTATTTTATTCCCCGCAGCTGAGTAATTGAAAAATCAAATTATCGTGAAATATTTAGTTACCTTTTTCTTCACTGTGTCATTCGTAACTTTCGGACGAACCTTTTATCTTCGCAGAATTTTTTACTTTACTAACGAGAACGCTTGTGTAATATTTTATTTCATCGCTGTTATTCCATTTCGTTTATTAATTATTTCATTCCCTCTGGTAAAAGTAATTAAAAAATTAAATTATCGCGAAATATTTGTTTAAAAAGACTTCTTTGCAGGTACCAAGTATTTCGAACGACTATCCCCTCGCTAAACCTACCCTCTGCAACCACTCTCGATGAGCTACCTGCATCGGAACGCGAGTAGTGATAAATCCCGAAAGTTAGCGTAACGAATACTCGCTGTCGCGGAATGTGACAAAAAGAAATATCGTATGAAACGGATAAAACGACGCTTCTGGACACACGAAACGTCGAAACAGGGCTCCTCGTGGCCAGCAAATGCCACGCGAATCGCCCAAAATGGCACGCTCGCACGAATATTCGTGCGGAATAACTGCGCCGTTCTAATTCGATCCTGGATCGTTCCTTTTCACTCGTCATCGCTCGCTTTCGTACGAATACATTAATATCCGAGATTTGTCCAGCACTGCACGACCAATCATGCCTTATCGGCCCGTTCTCGGCCGTGTTTTTACATGGCACGCGGGTTCGTCGAAATCGTCGCATGGCCGAACAGCTCGCCGATCACGCGAATCCCGGACCCCCTTTTCCTGTCGTTTCACAGTGAATTAACGGGCAAGAATTATGAGTGGAATGAAATTCGTTGCACGAACCTGGAAACCGTCGTTACGCAAATAATACGATTTTAATCGCAGCAATATCGGCATGCAAATTTATAGAATGCAGGTAATTCCGTATGTTATGCCGCAGTTGAATATGCATATCAGCATCGAGTGGATCTGTTTATTTATTTCATGACTTTTCGTTTATCATGTTGGCAGATTATATGGTCCATTTGTTACAATTATCATCAAAGCTTCCTGTTTCGACTATACAGGAAGTCGTGCACTTTTCTGTCATTTAAAAGTATTGAAACTAGGTAAAGGAAATGTGAACTCGATGAATCAGATCTTTTAGTGTAGCTAGCATTAAAATAGACAAAATATAAATAAAATAAGGTAGAATAAATTGAGGAAGAATTCAAAATATTTTTGATTATTTTTTATTTCTGTTTTATTTAATTATTGCCAATTTATGTAGCCTTTTGCCAAAGAATTTTGTCGAGATTGTAATTCTTGAAGCGAAATATTCTTTTTAAAAAGGAGTATCAGCACTTCGAATTTCGAGAGTTCCTTCCAGATTCGAGTCCTGGGAATAGAAAAATTGAAAGACCTCGGATGTTTGATTTTACATAAAGATAGAAGTTCCTCGAAGGTGTATTTAACTGCTCTTACAAGAGCAGTGAGATTCGTAATTAGTCTGATAGAATGGCGCTGTATTTACACGGTCTATTACTTCATTCACCGTTCTTTCTGTTCCGATTGGGTTATCAAAGGTATGAAAGGTGGCCTTGTCGAAGAGGCTGGAAAAGACAGGCGTTTTTAATTAATGAAATAACGCGGTCGCGATATTTCACGAGTCAACAAATCTTGGAGATTCGTTGAAAGTTTCACGATCTACTTTTCCAAAATTTCACCATCAGTCGCAGAATTCTCTTTCGGCTTCGGAATAAACAAGTAACGAACGTTCTTATCGATTAGTTACACTTTGATTCCCGAAGCGAAAAATCGTAAATTAATTATCGCTTGCCAGCCTGCACGTAACGCGCACACGTGCTCTAACTTTGCAGCGAGCACTCTGAAATCGATCCTGCATTTTATTCTCCAACCTTTTAAATAATTCAGTCTCGCGTAAATTACCGAGTGACTGCAGTCTCTTCGCCATATTCGCCGTCTCTCACACGAGTATCCATTAATACCCAAACCATCTATGGTTGTTCGGAAAGTAATTTCGTTTCTTTACCAATCGAGGCATTAATTATATTTTTAACCAGCCAACTTCGGTCTAAACTGTATTCTCGTTACATACCTCTACAGGTGACATTCCAAGTCCTATTTGTATAGAATTTTGTCCCCTCTGAGAAATTATTTTTCCTTGGTGCCCTATCGAATATGGAAAATCAGAAACAGATTTTCGGCACGCCAGTGTCAAGCCTTATCCACTTATAAGTCACTGTTAATTGTACAAACACAGATTTATACATCAATTGAACACTAAAAGTACCAATGCATTGAAAATTTTTGGTCTCGCAATTTTTCTTCTTGCAGTTACTAAAATTGTATACCTGCTTTTAAAAAAATTTCCATTCGCTCATGTGGAGGTAACACTAGGACCAGGGTAGAACTCATATGGGGGTAGTTATATATTTACTCATCTTCATCGTACCATTAAAGTCACTGTTATCTATGTTCTGTATGTCTAGGTAGCCATTAAAGATAGGTAGTTCTATCGTTATAAACAAAGCACGTAGCTATCTAAAAATCGTCGTAAAAATCAGCTCGGAAGTTCTAAAATTGAGAAAGGAGGAGGAAATAGGAGTTGAGACGAAGGTGGAATAAATTAGAATCTTAGCAGTCAACGCGCACTCGCGGCTTCGATCGAACCCGGACCCGAAAAGGTAGCCGAGAAATAAAAGAGCGGAGGAGCGGAAAAGAAAAGGGGTTGGAAGGAACCGGCGGATGGAATCGAATATGCCGTGCTGGTCGCGTTGGAGGAGCGTGGACGACATCGATTCCGGGTTTTCACGACAATCACGTTACACGCGAAAGTGGCCAGAAGCGTCGGGCGGAAAGCCCGAAAGCCGGAAACGTAGAAGTTAGCCGGCACGATATTCCGGGCGTCGCGTAACGCTGAAACGTCGCCTCGGCCTTTTTGCAGGTGAAGGGCTTTCAGCTGGAATACCTCGCCAAAGTACCTGAAGTGAAGGATACGGTTCACAAGCACTCGCTGCTTCATCACCTTTGCCACATGGTGATGGAGAAGTTTCCGGATTCCACGGATCTCTATTCGGAGGTGAGAGGCAGCTTACTTGCGAAGGAACCGGATAAAACTTTGGTTCCGCGAGGGACCGAATAACACTTGTGAAATCGCGGACAGGCAAGTTCGTGTCCCCGGGCAACTTCTTCCTCGACTTTCCGAACTATCGCGAACGCTGTTTCGCGAAATTCTCTTGTCCGGGGAGCGAATTTCCGGTGTAATTGCGAAACCGGCCGCGAATAATCTTCCATCGATCTTCCATCTTAGTTTGTTCGTTGTCTACGCTGTTTTCCTGGTAAACACGATTTGGATATGTTACTGAGTCTGCTGTAATAGTTATAATACTTTTTTTCCTGAGGGAGAAATCAATTTTATTTTCATATAAAATAAATTTTAAGGGATGGTACCATTCAAATGGATTTGAGACAAATTTCATGTTGATTAAAATAAACGTTGAAATTTATGGGGTCATAAGTAATAATGTTAACCCTTTGGCATACGAATAAAACGGAATTTTATACATTCGAAAAATACTATTTAATAATATACTACTCGGTGTTCGTCAGAGATAATTCTTGACGTCTCGGAGACGTCATAGTCTACAATGGCACGTGAAGTGATGACGTCTTCCAGACACCATTGTATGTCAAGGGGTTAAGGAGTATTCCATGCTTTTTGGAATATCGGTTCGTGATAGTTAAAGGGATTATGGTAAGGAAACCAGGCAAGAGGTAAATATTACGAGAGCTATGATTCGTAGACAGGGACCTATGTAAACACCGGTTAGACTCGTGGCTAATCCTCGTCGATGCCTTTCTGCCTCAGTTACGTGTTATTGTTCGTCGCGCTCGGACGCACGCGGCTCGACGTGCGACCGACTCTGCTGTTGATTATGGTACGCATTATTGGAACTTAAGTCGTTGGCCGAAATATTCGTTTATGGTAATTGTCCAGAATATACTACTGCTGGAAAAAATTTTTAGCCAAACGCTATAATACAAAATTATATAAAATTAATAATTAAGGATTATATAAAATTTTTGTTTATTTGTCGAGGGGAAAATAACGAAACAATAAGTATCGTTGAGTTTGGCCAAAAATCTTTTGCCAGGGGCAGTACTATATGTGTCTGTGATTATGAATGTGGCCTAAGTTACGCATGTTTCCTTTTGAATTGTAATTGGTTTCGAATCTTATATATTTCCTTAACGTCAGAATTAAACGAATTATCCGGTTCCTTCTGAATATAAATAATCGAAAATAATTTGTAAAAGCGAATTCTTTCAAAATAGCGGTGACTAAAAAGAATTTTGCGTGTTGTCTAGATCGGCGCGGTGACGAGGGCTTCAAAGATCGACTTCGACGAGCTTGCAGCGAACATCGGGAAGCTGGAGAGCGAGTGCAAGGCATCGTGGGATCACCTGAAGCTCATCGCGAAGCACGATGGTTCCACGATGATGAAAGTCAAGTAAGTACCAAAGTCGAAATTGCACGCGGAGCAATGGGGATCGATTCGAGCGGATGTCCCCATTCTCTCCAAGTTTGTCCCGCGAAGTTTCGAAATTTCCAAAGATCCGTACAATGTTCGATAAACTCGCGACGGACCTTTTTTCTCCACGGCGAAACTGGCGCCGTTCCAAATGGCACCGCCATTAATTACCGAAAACGTATTTCTCCCTTCCATGCCCCTGCTTCTTGCTCGTCCCCTATAACCCTCGCCCCCCGCGCCCCTTATTTTATTTCACCTTATCCCGCTTCTACTTCGCGGTGGATTTTCGGACCCTTTATCTGTTCATCCCCCTCCGTTGAACTTGTCCTTATCTAAGTCGGCTATATCGGGCCAAGCCTGCTCTCCTTTTTTACTCTTTTTCCATTTCCTTTGTCCTTCGTTAAGGTTATTAACTTCACCGTTGCCGGTGAAGCACGAAATTGCTAGGAATGAAAGGAGGTTTACGTGGATGGATGCTTTGTGCAGACGAGAGACGAAGTTTGTTTTAGGAAGTAGGTTTATTCGAAATTTCAAAGGAACGTATTGGAGTTTGGTAAATGGTAAATTGGTAGATGGGCTTCTTTTGTTTATTAGTGCGAAGCAGTATTATCCGTGAAGATGGTTTATGTAGATCCACGTTGCGTATTAAAGGAGGGATGAAATTTATCTTACAAAATAGGTTAGTTTGGAACTTCGAAATTTTATATTGAAATTTGATTGGTTAGGTAAATAGGTAGTGTCTGTTTTGCAGTCGGTTTATGTAGATCCACGTTGTGTATTAAAAGGGGGATGAAATTTATTTTTTAAAATAGATCAGTTTGGAATTACGAAATTTTATATTACAATTTGCTTGGTTAGGTAAATAGGTAGTGTCTGTTTTGCAGTAGATACTCTTCTTTTACTTATATTATTATTTATTAAATATAGGGTGATCCACAACAAATAACATTTGACAGAATGTAGATGACAGGACGTAAATGTAAACACGCTTTTACCATTATTTCTTACTGTAGCGAAATCCAAATACTCTTCCTCATTTTTTCCAAGTTATTCCAAGGTAACTTCATGCTTACCATTATATTTTACATATCGTTCTCGAAATATTCACTGTCAATCCGAACGTGTAATTATAATCACATGTTAATTAAGAATTAAGCAACCGACCACAAAATGGCGAATTCTCACAAATTCAGTTATTCTTTTACACCGAAAATGTCGATATCACAATTTGTCCAACTTGACATGTAGATTTCCCGTATTTAAAATAATTCAAAAGTTTCCGTTGTAAATTATTCGCGTGTGAAGTACACATAAAATACCCATCGTTAGATACCGCGTGAAAACACGGGAAATAACGCGGCAGGAGAGATCATTCGCACAATACCGTGACGTTCGCGATTAACATTACGCTTTAAAAACAAACTGTCCTACTTTTCACCGCGTCGCGTCGTTCAATGAAATCAATATTGCGGGCATCCCGCGAATCGATCGTGCAAATTGAACAATTTAAACAGCGCCGCAGATACGTTTACCAATCTCACTCGAAGCTGAATCGTCGGTATCCGGGAATTATCGACGTCCTGGAAGATAACCGCGAAAATAAATCATCCCTCCGTGGATTATTTATTAAGCAACGCGTGTATAATGCATCGGTAGCGAGCAGCATCGCTGTAACAATAAATTACCGAACCTCGAACCGAAACAATCTCACCCCCGCCCCAACAGGGCGTGGACGAAACGGAGAAGAAAGCCGGCTAAAAATGTTTCCACCCTTTCGACAAACCTGACTGTTCGAAGCCCGAGGGACGATTCGGGTAACCGATTCCCGGTAACCCGAGGAATACTCCAACATTGCCGGGGTCATCGGTAGCATTGTTCGTTTCCTGCGCCAGTATCCTTTGTTCGCGTAGCACGCGCTGGCTGCCGCGTTTAATCGCATTTATAGCCGGCTGACAGCCGAGGACAATGCTCGCGTCTGGGACCAGGCGAATCTCTTCCTTAATTGCAACGACGGAGGTAGGAGGAAAGTATGCGGCTGCCGTTAAGCAGCAGTCGGTGGCCGAGTAACGCTCCGCATCCTGTCGGGGCCGATGCACGCCTGCTATTCCGCGCGGACCTCTACACCGCCGATATTTTGTTGCAACGGCCAAACGTCTGGTTAATGTTGCCTCGCGTGCAACCCCCCTCCGCACCCCGACGCGCGTTAATTAAGTGTAACGGGACGTCCTAAATGTCGGCCCGGGTTAATTCGTTTTTGCCCGAAACTCGTTTAAGCGATCGTCTACGCGGCCCCCGGGTCTCCTCCGACTCGTCGGTGTAATGGAAATGTTTCGTGTAAAAAATGACCGTCGGTGATTGCCTTTTTGCGGATCTTGACGTCCGTGCTGTCAGGACACGCGGTGATTCGTCGGGACGTCGGGACCAACGAATTTTGTCTGCATTCCTTTCTTTTATTATTTTTTCCCAGGGGGTCTTCTGTCGTCCTTTCCGCGGCAAGACGAGGGATCACTTTATCTCGAGGATTCGCGAATAGAGCGTGTAAGAATCGTTGACGTCGCGATTCCTTTGATTTAGGGCTATGCGGAGATTTGATTGAGTTTTAGGTGCCTCCTCCACTGGGTTTGCACGTTGACGTGGAGGTTTATGTTTGCGAGTATGCGTGTAGAGGATCGAGGTTGCGATCAGTGCGGGATAATTGTCAGATGTCAGGAAACTGTCACAGAAAATCGAGGGAAGTCATCAAAGTGGTTACGTTAGGTGGTTCACACTAGATACGAGTTTAGGAATCATTTGACCCTTTGCACTCTGTTGTTACTATGGCGACTTTGTAAGATAGCTGCTGCGGCACTAGAATCCAACTGGATTTATATCAGATATTGTTAGATAAAATTCCCGAAGCACAGGGTTACCGTATGATTCCTCATAGATATTATACCAGTATACCTTTGATATGCTACTTGATTGGTAAACATTGTACTGTAAAAGTTAACAGGAAAGGTAAAATGACTCGGAGTTGCTGAGTAGGTCATATTAAAAATTGCTCAGAGTGCAAAGGGTTAACAGAGGTGTCGTTAAGATCATCAGAAAATTCCATCGAATTTACAATATTACATATTAATAAGGACATTTTAGATTCTTGGTTTACTTTGTTCAAGGATATAGATTATACAAATAATTTGACAATATGACTTATTCCTATCACGAAGGTCCTGCAAACTATCGATTTTTACCTCAGGGAGAATCCACACAAATGTTTCCAGGTGTTCAGAACAGAGGCTCGCACAGTAAGGGTATAGTAATTTTCCATTCTCACTACTCCTTTTATTAATTATTTTCCGTGAACAGAAAGAGCTGCCCATCGCGGATTAATTACAATTCCCCTATCACGTATTGCATCGTGGATACAAAGGAATCGTCAATATCGCGAACGCAGCGTCGATATCTCGATTCCCCGGGTAAAGAATTATTTCGCCAGGTATCTAGGAGCGAGCGCTCATGGCATTAATCTCCGATTTCTCGGTGCTCTTTGTCGAAGCAGAATGTCAGACTTCCTGGCGGACTGCGCGGAAAGGATAATCGTGCTGGGCATCGTGCACAGGCGGATCATAAATCGATTCCACAAATTCATCCTATGGCTGGGCATCCCGCTGCACAGGGTGCAGGACACGAAGCCGAACGAGTTCTGCCGGATCGTGTCCGAGTTCGCGCTCGAGTACAGAACCACCCGGGAGCGGGTGATACAGCAGCTGGAGAAAAAAGCCAATCACCGTGAAAGAAATAAGACCAGGGGAAAGATGATCACAGAGGTGAGTTACAAGCGGGCCTCGGCCCTCTGTGCTCGTATTTTTCTTCCACGGCAGCGGCGGCGGCGGCGGTGGCCGCTGAAAATCTTTCGAAAGGACCAGCCCCACTCCTCTCATCAAATACAGTTATCGGAGCGTGAACGGCATTATGGTGCGCTCCGGCGAGGGGAATAAATTGCTTTTTTGCCGCCGGCAGAATCAATTTCTTTTCTTGCCTACCGTTGCATTAATATCCCGCTTGTCTCCGTTTTCATTTCTGTCGCGACATCGTCCGACGTACGCGACTACGCCGAACAGCCCTCTTCCGGTTCCACCGTCCGCCCGGTTCACGTGAATACCGAGTCTCTATGCTGATCGTTACAGGTTGGCAAGTTCAGGACCAAGGAGGATCGCGCGGACGCGGAGCTCAGACAACTGCTCGGAAGCGATATCTCCGACGTCGAGAGCATTCACGGTACCCTGCCATGGCGGAGACAGAGGAAAGACGGTGAGTTTTCCATTTTATTTTTCCTCTTTTCGCTTTCTCCTCTTCCTTCGGCGTGTTTTCTTCCATCCTTCTCCTTCACTGGCTAACTCGTATATCCGATTCTTCCCGTTTGCTACAATCGGTATGCCGATTTATGTTGTTTCTTTCGTGCTTTCTTTTCCTCTTTGCTATTCCTGATCTTTCATTATATACTGTGTATGTAAGATACAGATAGATATAGAAGCATACATGTAGCTATTAATTTTGTAATATGAATTCTGACATTTTATTGACAAGATAAAGTACTGTCAAAAAGTCAGTGTTTGAAAATTCTGATTTTTCTGTACAATCGTTTCATCATAAGGTTTTCTATGATAGGAGAAATTGAAAATGAGGAATTATTTAATTCAAATTAAATACTTGGTCGCACCTATTGTAGTTTTAAAGAGATATGAAGGATATTTTCATCCCGAGGGAGCGAATTGTACTCGATAATAGAATAATTTGCATTTCAATTATTTTTCATTTTTTTTACGTTATCGCGAATCTCGCGAAACCACGCACCGTTCCTAGATCGTATTTTAAACGTGTCTCTTGAAATTCATAGAAGATCTCGCCACTGATATCGGTATGTTTCGTAACAGCAAAATGTGTCGTTGCCTCTCTGCACATATTCGCTCGAAAACAAGGAGAGATATGACGTACAGAAAAACTCTAGCAATTTCCGGCATTATAATGTTCGACGAAAATGACCGCGTCATTCCCAACAAAGACTCCCGCGAGCCATCTGCGCGATTCGTTTTTCCATCGAACATCGAGTCGCAATTTGCAACGTAAATTCTTTCCCTGCACGCTGCATCGTTCATTGATCGAAGCATTCTAATATCCTGCCACCGACAAGTTTCATATTTCTACATTACGCGACGTCTGGCTCCGCGAAACCGTAGCATACTGAACGAGGCAATAAAACGCAATAATACCCTCGCTCGTTGTGCTCGATCGAAGAGCAAAAATCGCTGCAGCGTTTCCATATTTTCCATTTTTCCCCTTTTGCGCCTATTTTTTTCTTTTTTTTTTGTCCTTCGTACTTTTTAGTTTGAGCTCAACGATGAAACAAGCCGCCAATTTCGTTTCGCGTGTGACTTGTACTATTGGGCGAGTTCGTTACACTACCCATGACAAATTAATGGCGTCGAAGAGCAACACGGAACTGAGTATAGGGGTTGTAGATTTCACCGATGATAAAATTTCTTTTCCAATTATTCAACAATTTTTGGATCTCCTACTTGTAAGTCATTCGCATATTCGTTCGGGAATTAAATCATAGAAATTTACTTCTCATTAATACTGGAACTACCGACTTGTAATGTTTGTATAAATAGGGTGTACATACGCGACATTAATTAAAGCAATATAATGAAAATAAGTAGGTATACGTATTTCCAATAATTCCAAAAATGAAAACCGCCAAACGAGTCATTTTGACACCCTTGGTAGTTCTAGCGTTAAGAAAGTAGTATACCATAGTTAATTTGACAGTATTCAATTCTGCAATCTGAACATTCTTTCCATCTCCAATTGTCCTTAAATTATAGCTCGACTTATTTAGGTATGCCATCGTGCGCATAAATTATGTTTAAAAATTTGATATACACGATCTGACTATTCTTCGAGTCAGCATGATCGTCTCTCAGATAAATCTCAAAATTAATCTGCCAGGGGAGGAAACCATTTATTCTTCGTAACTAGAAGCTAACTCTTTTCTGCGTGTATTTCGATATTATCCTCGTCATTCATCTTTCTCTCTCTCTCTCTCTCTCTCCACAACAACGTGTTCAGTGCAAAGAAAGAAATTTTCCCGGTTCTCAGGATCCATTCTCCGGACCCAGTGGACCGAGCGTAAAGGGTTGGTCCAAGTTTCGCTGCGGTCCTCCTTAGAGGCCGGAAATGTAACGCGTCGCCTTAAAAGGGTGGCTTCGTGGCGCAGATAAGAACAAAGTGCGAGAATTTCTCCTCGTTTCCGGAACGCCGTAGCCAGTGGCGGCGCGCGAGATAAATGCCCTCCTTAAGCAAACGCTTTCGAGGCTAGATTCGAGGATAGCCTCCGCTCGTTTGACGGCGTTACCGGAAAATGAGAAGTAACGGCATCGAGATTTCAGGAAACGCGCAGCAGGCCACTCCACGCCCGCGAGAATCGCGTTTAGAAGATAATCCCGATGTGAAGGGGGTTCGCGTTGTTTCCTCGATATTTTATCCGTATCTCAACTCTCCCTGCTCTTTCCTCGCAACCCTGTGATTCGAAGAAGTTCTTCATCTCGTCCTGCTTATGATAGGTTATTTAATGCTTCGCAATCTTAATTTTGTCACACCTGTGCGAGATTACTCGTGTGTGTATATTGATATTTATCGATGCGTAATTTTTAAAAGATACGGTGATGAAGGATTTATTGTAGTTTGAAATATCCTGACGAGCAAAGGAATTTTTATCCGAAGGGGAGGAATATCCCTTATGGTTCCAAAAAATTTTATTTTCGTTTAGAATTTTAATTCGTAGAAATTGTGACTGCCTTCCTCGGAAAGAGGAATAATTCGGTGAAAGAATAGGGAAGGAAGATGTCTGCTTCTTGAAAATAATTAACGCACGAATGTATAGAGGAAAGACATTTAAAACATACGAAGTGCCAGTTTCTGAAATATTCTGCAAAGTAAAAGAATCTCAATTTAATGGGCTGAAATGTCCTGTTAAGTCGTACAATTTCCATTTTAAAATTAAGTTTCTGTAAATAATAATTATTTTCCGCGGACAGTAGAATAATTTAGCGAAGAGAAACGCGAAGAAGGTAGAAGAGGGAATTAGTTTTTCGAAATAGATGTATGTAATGATAATGTAGTAGAGGTATTGATAGGAATAAAGATCATTTCGTCGCATTACAGAGAAAAATGTCTGTCTCGAAAAGCGCAGAAGTATCTCTCGCGAGAAATAATGTCGTAGGCGCTTGTCTGACTATACGCGGATACTTACTACTGCCGTGCTATTCTGTCAAAGGTACATGCGTTATTCGCAACATTTTCCAAGAGTCTTTCACGAGCTTTGGGTTTTTCACATTTTCATGATTACGTTAGCGAGAGGGTAGATGAGAAAGGGAATTATGCATGGCAGAAATAATAACAAGATTAATTAGCTACGCACAATGCCCATGCAGAACAGAGAACATGAAAACCGGATAATCTTGTCGCGGTTCATAATGTTTTTTGCAAAATCGTGTAATATATTACAGGAACGACGAGTTAACTTACTTGGCAAAATGAAATAACCTGGGGTTAGTCGCAGATAAAAACACGTTAAATTAGAGCATTGCAAAACGCGGAGAAATATATAACGAGATGTGAAAGGATGTTGCACATATGACATTATGATCTTGATGTATTAAATATAATTACCACTGTTCGCTGTGCATTTTATGATGAGTAATTAGAAGAGGAGAATTTACCATGGACAACGAATTTCAGGTTGCATTCAATTTTAATGAAATTTATGGAATTTTAAATTTAAAAGCTATCATTAATAGTAATAGCTACACTATTATTATTTGTTGACAACTCCAACAGGTCGATGATTTATTTCTTGACAATTTATTATCAAGTAAAGGCACCCCATCGCGTATAATACATACTTATTTCTCCACTTGTACCTGAACCACTGTCTACACGCTAATTATCTAAATCTCATTTCCTTCTAAATTCAATAAGCTCAATTCTCCATACTCTCCTAACCCTTCTAACCTCTAAATTTTAATAATCATCGAATCTAATTTGCTCTATCGTCGTTCCTCGTGCGAATCCAGACACTTCCGGGCACACCGTGCACGCGAAACGGAACCCACAAACTCGCAGTGAAGCATCGGGAAGTTTTGTTTACGAAGCAATTTCCCGCGACAAATTTCAAATTCCGTACAGCTCCGCGAAGTAATCTCCCTTCGCTGTTGGCTGCGCCACGAAAGCGGGGCCATTTCCGCGTCGATTGAGCGGCTGTTTTACGGTAACTTCTAGCATTCTGGCTACGGGATTAGCCATCAGGCTACATCGTAGCCGATGATCGCGACGTGCTTCCCTCTCTTGCGAACCCGATACCGTCGAGGTCACGCTGCGGAACTGTAATCCTCCGTGTCTTCTTCCTACCCTCCGAGGACTTTCCTTTTCTCTAAGAGCCCAAGAGAGGCGGCGGAATTTTTATTCTCTCCATGGTCCGCGCGCGTATAAAGATCGCGGAGGGTGAAGCCACCCCTTTACGGCTCGTAAACTTGCCGATGCTCGTGCATTACCACGGCTCTTCGGCCATCATAACTTTTCTTCCTTTTATTCCCGTGTATGCTCCTCTATAAAATATCTAAACGCTCCGCCTAAGTCGCGCCGGTACTTCACCACAACTTCCCTCGGTCCCCTTGACCGTCGAGGGTTCAACACCTGGAAATATCCTGCGAATCCTTCCACGTGGTCCCCTACGCGTTCAGGGATCACGATTTGTCGCGACAGATTCTCCCTCAGACGGATACCTTCCGACCCGTTATTACATTCATATCCGCGGTTTCCTTCGGAGGATTGTATTTATGTCGAGATTGCTGAAAATGAAAGGCTGTGGGATGCTTTTTTCTTTCCCAGGATATATGCTTCTTTCCCATGTACGGGTAGGGCGGAGTACACACCCGCAGGATTCGGAAGGTTCTTTAATGCCGAGTGGGGTTCAGGGAGCACGAGGACGACGGGGATGAATTACTGGGGATTTAATTCGCGTGTAGCTGAATATGGAATTTTTTTGTCGGGTCACTTAGGTATGGTAGAAACTCAGTTTTAGAAGAGATAGCCTTTGTCGTATTATTTCAATATTTGGCTATAATTAATAAATAACTCTCGATAATTTAGGGTGCACTTATTTCTAATCGTTTCATATAATCCCAAGCGTTTCATTGGAATAATTCATCATTTAGTCGATTAGTGTGAGTCATCGAGACTCATACGAAACGAAATTCTTAGTAAACTTGGCTCTTTTTATTTCTTCAATATAATCATATTAAATATCAATCTAAGTACTTGCAATTAATTTATTGATCCGAAAATTAAGTGATAAATTAAGGGGTTCAAGTCATCCACTGATTATACATATATTTCTTTCTTATTCTATTCTTATTCTGTTATTTATTGAAGACATCAAGCTTATATTACTAGCAGTTCCATCTGAGGAGAAGCAATAGAAATATTTCCAAATTGCCAAATGTGGAAGGCTCATCGTCAATACATTTTCTCGAACCAAATCATCAGGATTTACGTCCTCACCAATTTCTCGAGGAGTATATTCATTTATGAGAATCGAACACTTAACAATGTTCACCATGAGACAAGTACCACGCAACAAGTACCATTTACGAGTTCCCACAATCGTTTCGCTCAAAGGTCGAGCGGTGGAGGATTTGCTGGCAAGCAGCTGGGTAGTCGAAGTCGTTTAATCTGGCCTAAAATAAGCGAGGCCATGAAAGTCCGCTAGTCGACGACATTCAGCACCCGCATCGAGTTGACCACATCCTGGAACTTGGCCTCTTCTTTGCCCCTTGCATCATGGAAATTCCCACTGCCTTCTTTAAGGTTCTTCCTTCTGCGCCACCTTCGTATCGGATTTACACAGCCAGGCAAGCCGCCAATGGAAGCTTCTTTCAACCGAGTTTCAAAGAAGCTCTCAAAGGAACTCGCCGTGCTTTTGACGGTTCCGAAGTTTCTAGCCCGCGAACCGGCAGCATATAGAGACTGTTCTGCCAAGAGTTGACCAGGCTACCTCTGCGAAAGAAGAATGGTCTCTGTACAGACTAGAACTCGAGTAAACGTCATGGCTCGGTACCTCTATGATGGACGGGAATGTGCGCCAGGAATCGTTAATAAAGGCCAGATGGGAAAAGTTGACGCGAAATTTTCTATATTTTTTTAGAGTTTGGCGACCAGAGACCAGTTAGTAATCAGAGTTCAGAGACCACTTAGTATAGCTTTTCCTTTCTTTTGGTAAACATTAGTTTCAATGGCTCACGATTCATTTAAAGATTGCAGATTTTTGTGCGACAGATAAATTTTTATATTTCTGTACTAGGTAAGATATATTTTTGAAGATTGATACGTTTGGGGATGTTTGATGTACTTCTAAGACTTCTTGAGAAATATCGAACGATGAAATGTGAGTATTTCTTTCTTCGACAAAAATGGACCTAGACTTTATTTTCACCATGTTATCGAAATGGATATATTTTGTTTGCAAATTATAGACAGGGTTGAGATCGATTTTTTATATCAGGATTAGGATCTGAAATTTATATTATTTGGAATGTTCTTGAAAATGGAATTTAAGTTTTTCATTCGGTATTCCTTCCTCGTCCATGGAAATTGGTCGAACGATTCGTCAGGAGGTATAAACTGTAGTTTTCTATACTTGAAGCTGCAAATGAAATTCGTGGGGTTAAATACGTAAGTAGTATGAACATAAAAATACGGCGACAGAATAATAAGAGTATCTGTAGGACACAGCAAATAAATTTGACGTCTTGCAAATATATTCGATCCAGCAATGTCCCTGCATAATAAGCAGTATCTCTGCATACAATTGTTCGCGCGATTGCAGGATTCTCATTGTCAATTCTTCCTTCGTTTTCGTACGAACCATCAATCCCTCTAAAGTCTCATTTTTAACCAACCACCACCGCATCGATGACGTGATTTTCCACACGGTGACATCCTCCCGGAATGCATCTTTCATCGCTCATTCCGTGGGAAGTTCGCCAGAAATATTCCGCACCCTAATCGGATTATTCTCAGTTTGCATTCAACTTAGTTCGCAGTTCGAGTTCTCAGCTTTCTTACTTTATCCAGCAACGAAAGTTCATTGCATTCGCTAATTATCTAGTACCGATAATTAATTAGCAAAAATTTTTTGTACCCCTAATATTCATCTTCGCAAGATAAAAAAAAAATAAAAAATTCTCCCATTCATAAACCGAATTTTTAAAAATTCTGATACCAAAGTACTTAGTCGATTATTACATTTATATATTTAAAATAATTTTCTACTAAAATATACGTGTCAAATTCAACACCAGACCTACACTTGAATTAAAGAATGATAAAATTCGCGATTTTTTAAAATTTTTCATATCTAATCATTTAATAACTATCTAATATTCCTGACGTTAGCTACCAAGTATTTTATGGTGAGATTAATTCTTATGGAATTAATTGTCTCCGTTATTTTATATAAATTACATTATATCGTAATAATAATTATTCCGACATAACTACCCCTATTGATTCACAATAAATTCCACGATATCGAACAAGAATAAAATTTCGTATTTCAGAAATACGTAATTTGAAATTTATCCATATCATAACACGACTCGAAATTTGTGTTCCAGGGCGCACCTCGCTGGGCCCTTTGCTCCGCGACGAGAACACGAACGGGAACCTGACCGACGGCGACGACGAGTTGCTGGAATCGCTGGTGAAGACGGCCACGAAGACACCAGCGACGAGGACGACGCCGCGGGAGCGCAAGAGGACCAGACACGCCGATCGTAAGTCTTGTAAGTGTGATCCCCGCACCCTGCACCTAGCCTCCCTTCTTCCGCGCTGATCGAGCTACCTATTCTTTCTCAAAAGACAGATCGTTTAATCGATTCGTTGCCGATACATTTTCACCGCGTCACGTATTTATGGGCCAATTTTTTCGAGGACTCCATGGCGTTCGCGAATACCGATCTCCCGTGAATTACTCGCGAATTGTCGTTCGGCTGTCTCGAGAAACGACCGTTCATAAACCTCCCTTATAAATTTCGACTTCTTTACGAGACGTCGATACTTGATTCTTCATTGATATTTCACGCGGTGTCATAAATCGCATATATACAAATCTTTATAAAATATCCTCTGTTCATCGTGTAGGAATTATTTAAATAATTTTTCTTTCTCGATTAAATATCTCTGCGTTGTGAATAATTATTCTAGAATTATTCTAGAAGATGAGGGTTGCTTTCGGAGAGTACGTGCTATTCTCAGGCACCATTGGCAAGTATTGACGAGTTCATAAACGATGTGAAATTATTTTCTTCCTTTTCTTAAATCGATTACCTTGACGTACCATACCTACTATTCTCGAATTTCTTCATCGACTGTCATCGAGCCACGCTCGCTCTCGTCGTTATACTCGAGTCGGGGTGTTAGGTGGTTTCGGGGGTTGTCTATGGGGTTCGATTGAGCGGAAGGATGGTACGCGATGAGCAAGTTCATCGATTGGAAATCTTCCGGTCGCGGGAATTCATTTTTCATCGATTTGTTGGCCGGATTGATTAATCGCTCGGCGGATTTCAGAAGCGTTTTCCCGCAGATCCTGGCCGTCTAACGGAAAACGCAGATTTCGATACGATCAGCCGTATATTTGCCGATAAATAATTGCCGGGTTCGAGAAGTGATTCCTGGGAACGCGACGACCGATTAATCCGACGCAATTTCGCCAACGAGACGAGCCAATCGGCCATGATTTTTCTCCCCGCGTTGAAATAATAGCGTCTTCTAAGATATTCGGGTGGATAGAATTATTTTCTTATATACCGGTAGATAGGAAAATTTGAAATTTTTTTAATTAAATCGCGACATATCGGTTAATTTTCTCGTTCGGTATTCCAGCACTTCTTCCTCAGAAACCCGATTGATAATAAGCTCGTCTCGTTTACCTCTTCCTCTTCGTGATAAACTGCAGCAACCGGAAACCGAGCAGCCATTATATTATCGCGGGAAGAAGCACTCGTCTTCCATCGAAATCGAATAAACTGATCGCGAGACTCGAAGCTTTTAATCCCTAAAGGCGTCTGCTACCACGACGAGCGAGTTATCGACAAGTCGTCGCAAAACAGCAACGCTGCCGCTTCCTTAAAATGTTACGGCTTCTATTATTCTTGCTTCATCCGCGGAATAATTTATACGCCTGCAAATGGAGTCCTCTGGTAGATACTTCTGAAACGGTGCGAAACGGCGTGAGAGGAATCGGCCCATAAATAAAGCGCGCTAGAAACGCGACGATCTGCAAGCGGAAGTCCGGAGGCGAAATTCGAAACGCCCGCGATCGAAGACAAGGTTAACAAGTGCAAGCTTCGATCGTCGTTGAATCTTCTTCATAGCACCTTATTGGCACCGATCTTCCTCCATCTTCTTCCTCTCAAACACGCTCGGTGTACATACGTGTCTCGCACGATTTCCGCAAACGCGTGTTCGTTCGAAACGGAGCGGTAAATTTCCCGGAAACAAGGTAAGAGTCGCGCCAGGCTTTCGTTGGAAGGTAAGCGCGAAAATGGCACCACTTTCCGCGCTGGCAACAAATAAATTCCCACGACCATGCGTCATCTAGGTCGACCAGCTCTTTTCGCGAGTTTTTCTACCGACATCTGCGGTGTCGCAATTTCCTTTTTTACTTTTTTATTTTTTTTTATTTTTTTTTTTGAACGGCTTTTCACGAAAATGAGTGGCCCCCGCGGTTCGGCGGAAGTGTCATTTGCATTTTATATTGCGACCATTCACGGTTTAGGGTCGCGCCATTTTCATGGCCGAACGCATCAGCGTTTGGAAAATCCGCCGGATTCTCTCGGATAAATGCGGTGTTTTTTTTCCGCCCATTGTGAGACGTTTTAAGAACTCGTTTTCAAAGTTTGCGGGATTCTAGCCGGAGGAAATATGACGGGACGGGGTGCGAAGCGAGGGGAGAATAAAATGTCGAAGTGCCTGTCGAGGTGACATTTTCCCCGCGAAAATGGGGCATAACTGTGATAAAAGTGAAATCGCGTGGACGCGTTTCGCGATGTGGCCATGACGTGAAATTACGAAATTCTTTTTTTATGTTTCTTCTTTTTTTCTTTCTTTTTTTTTTTTGAAAACGACGCTAGCAGAGGGACCTTTATGATACTCCGCGCAATTCAAAAATTGGAGAAATATTGAACTTTCTTTTTAACGCTTCTATCTGAATGGCGGTGGAAAAATATCGAAGGAATTTTTTCACGTTCATTTGTTACGTCGAAATTAAAATATTGATACATCGAAGGAACGTTCTGTGTATTAATATTTACATACTCGAAATTTTTGCGAGTTTTACACATCGAGTTATAAAGTTATTTCATCGCGATGGAATTTTATCGTTATACTTTAAAAGAATTATAAAATACTTTAATTTTATTACGTTCTT